GCCCCAAGCCAGCCGAATTCACGCATCTGGCAGCACCTGAAGTCCCTATCACCTGGTCACCTCGCTCCAAGGTGACTCCCCTTCAGCCCGGGAGCTGTCTGCGAGCTCCTGCCCAAGCCCCCTCAAGCCCAAGCGCTCCATCCACAGGCACAGCCACAGATCCCGAGTGCTAGGAGAGACTGCAGAGAGGCCAGCACCATTTTATAGACTTTTATTTCCAAATCTGGCGCTTCCATGATACACTTTTACACAGCCAGGGCGGGGTGGGGGGGGCACAGGCATCTCCCTGCTCCTCGCCCACAGAATTGGGACATCAGGGGAAAACCAAAACCAACTAAACCCCCAAAGAAACAAACCCAAAGCCAAGCAGGATGCTCCCCAGAGCCCAGGCCACAGCACTACAATCAGGGACCAAGCTGCAGACTGACTCCCTTGACTCTGCAGGGACAGCCACCGGCTCTGCTGCTCTCTTCTTTTTGGCACTTGTCACTTGCTCTCCATCTAGCACCAGCACAAAGACCTCCTGTGCCCTTGCTAGAAACACGGGCTCTACAGGGCCAGAATCTGGGACAGAATCCCAGGACTCCAATGCTGGTGCAGCGCCGCCGGAGAGAAACATGTAAACGAGCTCATTCCCGAAGGCAAAGACGGGCAGCATGGAGGGGCCCAGCTGTTCCCAGCATGTGGGGCTGGCAGGCTTCACCTCTGTGCCAGTCCCAAGTGGCTGGCAGGCCCGTCCCTCCCCATCCCTGGGAGAAGGATGGCAGCAAGCCTGCCTCAGCGGGGCTGTGTCAGGAGCAGGCAGCCCCTGTCAGACCCATGGCACCCCCCTCACCCTGTCCTTCTCTTCCCTCCACACTCTCCCCGCTGACCTGGGGATGTAGCTGAGAGGCCTTGGCCTCCCTGGGGTCCAGAGGACAGTGGCACAGGTCCTCTCCTGTAAACATGTCAGGCTGGGCTGCAGTAAGAGGCTACGGCAGTGTGGCATTAAGGCAGTAAGGAGGGTGCTGTCACGCAGCCCCAAGAGCACCGTGGGGGCAGCAGAGCAGAAGCACCGGCTTGACAGGTGAAAGGGAGCATGCCAGCCCCCGAGCCGAATGCCCCGGCCTGAAGCTGGTGTAGGCACAGAGGAGTGTCACCTCATGGCAGGGCCAGTGGGAGCCTGGCAGAGGAGAGACACCATCAGGGCAGCCTGAATTTCCAGCGAGAGCAATGTGCTGCTTCTCTCCATCTCCCAATATCCAGGCCACTCTGAGCTGGTGTCCTCTGCCAGTCAGAAAGTGCAGGGATGTGTGTATACGTACGCAAAACCCACAGAGAACCAGCTAGATACAACTTTTGTGGGCAACACTGAACCCCCAGACTGGAGCCACATCATGCTCCTGCAGACACTAATCCTCTAGCAGGTGAGTGCTGGCTCTGGGAACAGCCTGGCCTGCTGTCATCCAGGTCATCCAGGCCCTTGTCTGGACCCACAAACCAACAGAGCTTTCTTTTGTTAAAAAGTACAACATACGGTGGGTAAAAACATAGTGCTCATTTGCTGACCAGAGGAAACCAGCACTTTTAAGACCAGGACCATCCTGGTACAGGACAGGACTGAACAGCAAAGCTTGTTCCCTCCCCCAGTGGATCCCTAGTACTGAATTTGCTGCCCCGCTCACTCGTGCTCTTGCTGGCGCGCAGCCCTGGCTCGTGGATGGGGTCAGCCCCAACGAGGGTCCCACAGGAGGGCAGAGGTGGGCCTGGCTGCAGGGCCAGCACAGCTGCAGAGGGCTGAGGGGTGCCAGGCAGGAGGACGGCACCAAGACACGTGTGGGGCTGCATGGTGTGAGGGCGAGGGGCAGTGGGGCCAGCTGCCCTGTAAGGGGGATGGGACGAAGCAGTGCTGACAGAGCCATACGGGCTGCCTGGCTCTGTCCCTCCATTCCACTGGGATCATGGTTCCCAGTAGCCCCCGGGAAGGTTGGAAAGAGCTGTTGGTGAAACAAATTCTCTAGGTCCTGGGAACAGACCATCCGTAAAAATAACCATAGAAATTTCTCTTCTCTCTGATTATAAAGATACAAAAAGGTAGAAAACCCTCCCCTGCCCCCATGTCCTGGGCTCCATTTCCATCCCCCTGCCTCTGCCCGCCCTCCACGCACACACTCGCACACACACACACACCCCTCACATGCAAACAGCTCGAATTCTCTAGGTCCTGGGAACAGACCATCCGTAAAAATAACCATAGAAATTTCTCTTCTCTCTGATTATAAAGATACAAAAAGGTAGAAAACCCTCCCCTGCCCCCATGTCCTGGGCTCCATTTCCATCCCCCTGCCTCTGCCCGCCCTCCACGCACACACTCGCACACACACACACACCCCTCACATGCAAACAGCTCGCAGAGGAACAGCTTGGCGACACCACCCTCGCCCAAGCAGACTCCTGCCGTACCTGTCACACTGGGCAGGCTACGGGGAGCACGGTGGCAGCTCTCAGGAGTGGGTGAGGGGGGCTGGTGGCCCCTCAGAGGGGAAGGCAGGGTCGGTTTCGGGCCTCTGACCACCATCAGTTCCAGCCCCTGCCCCCTGGGGACACCAAACCTCAGTTGGCAGTGCCTGGCAACGTGAAGGACACTGCTTCTTCCGTCTCTCTCATGGACACCTTCGGCCCCTCAGGAATGGCCCTCGTTTCTTGTTATTCTTCTCGGAGAAAAGAAAAACAGCATTAAGCCATGGCATCTCCCTGGTCTCCAGCTGCGTCCCCTAGCTACGCCAGATTGGGTTGGGGCAGAAATTCACTCCTGCGTCAGGGCAGGAAAAACTGTCTCCAAGTCCCTGAGTTAAGGGAAGAGGAAAGGACAGATGGGATGGGATGGGATGGGATGGGATGGGATGGGGTGGGATGGGATGGGATGGGATGGGATGGGATGGGATGGGATGGGATGGGATGGGATGGGATGGGATGGGATGGGATGGGATGGGATGGGATGGGATGGGATGGGATGGGATGGGATGGGAGGACTCGGCCTCCTCCTCCTCTCCAGCCAGCCTGGCCCTTGCACACATCTGCTTGTTGAGACTTAAAGCCAGCACTGGGCAAGAGGATCAGCCATGAGGCGGTCAGCCTGGCAGCACAAAGCATCATCCCAGAGCCCTCAGAGGCCACAATCGAGGGCAGAGCGGGCTGACTCAAATACATTGATGTTTCTGCTCGTGCTGCACCACAAGTGCCTGGAGACGTCGCATCCAAGGGTTTTCCCTGCCCAGTCACTACCGAGGACCAGGAGACACCTGCCACTCACCCCGGGGGCTCACCCTTACACAGCCCTCTCCCCCCAAACCAAATCCCTGTCAGGAAGAAGCCAGGCAGGCGGATGATGCACAAGCTGAACAAGGCCTGGCTGAGGAAGGGACACACTTACTCTGAGTCTGGTGACAGCTCCGAAATGCTGTGGGAGGTGGCAGAGCGAGGCGTCGAGGAGCACACTGCAGAGGGTGTCGAGGTCTGCACGGCAGAGGGGGTAGCGGTGGTCTGTGGGGCGGAAGGTGTGCTGGAAGATTGCCCCGAGGACAGGACAGAGGAGTTAAAAGAAGCAAGGATGGAAGAAAGGATATCTAACTGTTCAGTGGAAGGATGTCGGCTGGGAATGGCCTCCAGGTTCTCTCTAGAAGGCTGTCTCCTCGCCAGCGGCTCTAGGCTTTCCCTAGACAGCTGCCTCCTAGAGAGACTCCCTAGGTTGTCCTGTGAGGGATGCCTGCTAGGCACTGTGTCCAGAGGCTCTCTGGAATTAGATCTTCTGGACAGAAAGTCCAGCTGCTCCCTTGAAGTTTGTCTAGCCGATGCTAGTTGGTCCCTTGAAGGCTGTCTTCTAGAAAGCAAATCCAATTGTTCTCGAGAAGTATCTCGACTTGGCAACGTGTCTATTCGGTCTCTGGACACTTGCCTACTTGGCAATGTGTTTAGCCCCCCTTTAGAGACCTCTTTTACTGGCCCACAGTCTAGCCGCTCTCTTGACCCAAATCTGCAGGGCAAAGTGTCAAGGTGGTCTCTGGATCCCTGCCTCCGGGGCAGCGTGTTCCCATGATCTCTCTGACTGGGTCTAGCAGCAAGTAGATCCAAGTTTTCCCTAGATCCATGTCTGCTCGGGATACTCTCCAGGTGTTCAGTAGACCCATGTCGGCTGGGGATAGTGTCCAGCTCCTCCCTGGACCCATGCTGGCTGGGCACAGTTTCCAAGTGCTCTACTGAGTT